TTGAAATTTTTAATTGCGTCTTTTTTAATTTTTATGATTTTACTACTATAATCAAATTTTCAAACTGAAGTTGGAGGCAGAAGATGAGCTCCGATCGAGTCAAAACTTGTCAAATTTTTATTTTTAAACAAATCGCATCGCTTCCACCTACGGGCGTTGTAAAATTAAAAATTTTTCTTTTCTCTACACAAAATCGCTCCACCCTACCGTATACAACAGGCAACGGCTGGGCAGGCGGGTACCCATTTATCCGGGTATTCCGAGCTCTAGTAATTATACGTTACGGAAACTATATAGAATAATCTTATATAACACGTATGCAATTAGATACACTTGTATAAGTAGAATTTTTAAAAAACCATTGAAATTAATTCCTTCAAGTTGCTAGAGCATCTATGTATTATTAACCGTTTGAGCGCAGCGCGATCACACTGCTCGCGGTTTTACATCGAAAAGTGCAAACAAGCGCTGCGGCAAGCTGATAATGAGCTCAACTTCTACTATGATTCTCAGAATTAAGCGAAGTGTTTTCTTTCCATGTATTAAAAACAGATTAAACGATGTACAGCAAATTTTATTTTTACTTATGACACTCATGGCATTTTCCGATGTGAAACAGAAGCAGCGCGCCGCTTAACACTTTTCGCGATTTTTACGGTCACCTTCAGCACTCAACCGGTTAAGCATATACATATATGTACAGTATTATATTCTAGACTTTTAATAAGTTAGGCTAGTGAACCAAAAGTTACAGAGACAATATTGTACCACCAATTTCGGCAAGAATCTATGTATCAAATTAAGAATACAAACTCAGATAGAAACTTGACTAACAAGTTATTTCTCCGATTCATTTCTCTTTCACATTAAGCTTACACGGTTAATGTGTGATTGTCACAGTTTACAGTAAATATATATTATATAATCTGTGAAAACATTAATAAACGAAAAAGAGAAATTACGATTTCCTAGTGCAGTGTGAAAACACCCAAACAAATTTTACTGAAAATATAATGAAATTTTGTTGAAATGTATTTGAAAATCTCCATTGTGATTACGTTTTATAATTATTTCGCAAATATTTCAGAAAAATTCAATGAAACATTTTTATTAAAAACTAACAGTTCTGATAATGAAATTCAGTAAACTTTATTAAAGACCTCTCGGCCATTACTGCCCATCTACAATTTAAACTCTAACATAAGTCTTGGGCCTAAGTCATGTATACATTGCGACGATTATTCTCTTTTCTTTAAATGGCTTCCGTCCTCCCGCGGTACGTGGACGGACGGGTGTTGCCGTCCCGCTCTCGCTGTCGCGCGCGGGTCTTAAGCCTGCTACAGACTGCACGCAGCAAGCGGCAAGCGTCGAGCAGCGAGGATCCAACACTGCTGAATTTTGCGGAAGCGTCAGCAGTGGCGTAGAAAATATCTCTTCGTTGATTGGCTGCTGCTCGACGCTTGCTGCTTGCTGCGTGCAGTCTGTAGCAGGCTTTAGGCGAAGGTGCGCGCCGACGACGGGGAGTATGGTCGCCGGGCGCGAGAAGCGCGGGATGCGGACGGATCGAGTCGTCGTCAAAAACCAAGGGGGGTAAATGATAACGCGCCGGAAAGGAACAGGATCTCGGTAGCTCCGCGCGTACCGTGCCGAAAGCCGAAGGTTCGACGCGAAAAACGAAGCTTGG